GCAGCTGAACCAGCCTACAGGTTTTGTTCAGTAAACCAACCTCCAGATTTTCCCACATCCCCAGATTTTGGTGGTGAGATATTTACGTACTACATCTGCTCTGGGGTCTGTGCAAAGGCATCGCTCAATAACAGGCCCTGGATCAGCATCGTTGTGCTACATAATTCCCAGGGACTCCGTGCAGCCGAGCTCCAGCTGATTGCACACCCGAGAGTTCAAGGCAGCATGATTGCCTGTGCCTGCCCCCCACCAGCTCTGTGATCAAATCACATTTGCCTAGTTTATGTTTCTCCCCTTTCTCTGCATGAAAGTGTCAAGCAAACAAAGGAGAGAGAAGTAATGGAGGGAAAAAAAAAAAAAAAGCAAAACCACGCGAGTACAAAGTGCTTGCAAAGACACAAAATAGGCAGTTGGAAAAAATTGGGAACAATATTGCCTTTAATCTCCAAGATAACCAGGTGCAGTCATCTTAGATGTTACTGCTAACATCTGTGGCTTTAAAAAAAAATAAAAATAAAAAACCAACCTGTGGCTGAGCCATTAAGTTCAGTGTCACTGCGATGTTGGCTTTTAAAAATAAATAAATAAATAAAACACAAAACAAAATCTTTGAAAGCGAGTAGAATCCAGGAGGGGCTTATTAAAGTGTGAGAAGCCCATTTTGGCGCTATTGAAGTGAAGGACAAAGTGCAGGCACTGATGATTAATTTCTGTTTTAGCTGCTCACTTCAATAATTGCATGAGAAACTTGGAGAGCACAGTGAGAGGCTGGTGGGCAGGTTTGGGGGCCAGCTAGGCAGGGCTTTAACCCAAGCAGCTTCCCCACATAAAGGAGTCACTGCTAAACAGAAGAAAAAATAAGTCTATGAGTGCTGCTCCTGTTTCCCAGGTATCTCCGTGCAACACCATGGAAGCCATCTGATGTGAATAAAACCCGTTTCGGTGTCAAGCAGAGTTAGCATGGGCCAGTATCCTCGGTCCCTGGGCAGAGCCATCCCCCAGCCCAGGGGCTATAGCAGGTTCAGGTGTTGATCCATCTCCAGCGAGAGCAAACCGTGCTCTCTTGGAGAGGATATAAGAAAAAGTGCTGGGAAAAAAAAGTGAAATGAAGCTAGGCCAGGGAGGCAAAGCAAGCTGTTTGTGTCCTTCAAAGTAAAGCCGAGGAGTGCCTGTGAAGATGAACCTTCTCTTAAAGCGTGGGGAAGAAGTATTAATACAACACCCATCTCACGCAGCTCTTCCTACAAGAGCTATAATGCAACAAAAGAGGCTGAAGAGGCTGTTCTCACAGAATTTTCTACCCAACTTTGTGAAGGCAAAACTTGTCTGGAGGCCTTTTGTCTTCTGGATTTGTTGAATCCAAACAATTATGTGCATCTCCCAGAACCATTGTGGTTGGAATCGGCAGCACTCCTCGAGTGGAAGGGGTGGGTGTGATGCAGTGTTGTGGGGGTCACGAGGGCACACCAGAAGCCTCAAGAACTCTTCAGCATTTCTATCCGGGATGTGCTAAGATGGCAATACTTGCATGGTGAATGTATTTTTACTGTGTCTTTTTATGATGTTTTCATTATGTGCTTTTATTATGTGGTTATAAGCTGCTAGAATGGAAACTGGAGTGATAAAGCTTGATTGATCATTATATTCCCATCTATAAAAGGCAGATTTTTTTCCCCACCACGAACAACAGACAAGTCTGATCAGGATGCAAGTCTGAGCATTAAGTCCATTAACTCCAGCTCCTTAGGCCAGGTCAGGGCTGATGTTCCTGAGTCTTCCTCCAGTCATCAGACCCAGCTGGAGAGGCAGCTGGTGCCCCAAGTCACCCACGTGTCCCCAGGAGCCTCAGCCTTGTGGGTTCTGCCACTTCTGAAATCCCAAAAGCTGAAGCAGAGGCTGAATTTGGAAACAAAACGGGTTGGTCTTGGCTGTTGTTTCACATCTTGTTTCTGATGTGCTCCAGTTTAGACAGCAGAGGCAAAAACCCTGAGGTGTGGCCATGTGCTCAGTGAGGGCTCGGTGCTTTGCAAGGTGCCCAGGCTGAGCTGTGCTACCAGACACCTCTTGTTCCCCAAGGGGTGCTCTCCCCAAGGCATGGTGCAGCCTCAGGTCGTGCTGCTGCTGGTCCCACTGCTCACTGCACCCTCCTGGGCTCACCCCAGCCTGCAGCAAAGGGGGAGAATTTGGGTGATGTCCACTGAGGTGTCTCCAGCAAAGTGCTGTGCTCTTTGCCAGGAGCTGGAGGTGCACAGCACCTCACAGAATGAGGCTTTTTGGTGCGTTTGGTTCCACTTTGTGCACTTCCCTTCCATGCAACCCCATACTACATAAGCGTTCCCATCTGCCAACGGGGGTATTCATCAGGCCGATGGATGTCGCTGCTGGTTTCAGCTGACATAGATTATGTCCTTTTTTGAGCTGTATCTGAGGCCTGTTCTCTGCAACGCTTCTTTCATTGTTCACCTACCATGGAGACAGCAGCTCGCGGCGAGATTTATCTCCCAGAGATCTCGGTGTGAAAAGAGGCTGTTCTCTCTCAGCCCTGCGGTGGCTATCAGCATCCAAAGCTCCCTGCGGAGCTCCATGGATGGCCTGGATGGACCAGAAGGAAAGCATGGTGAGCTAGGCGAGGAAATACCCTGGCTTTCAAGGCAGCAAAAAAGGCAAATCTTGGCAGAGACAGTAATTCATTTATAGAAGGAAGCAAGGGAAATCTTTCTTGCTCCTCCAAATAACAGTCTCTGATTCCCCGACTCTAATCATTCAATAACCTCACAAGGATCAGAATCGTTTTCCCATCCTCTGTAGATTTCATGTCTCATGTTTTTGCTTGCTAAATATACATAAGCATGCCACTTACAGCAGCGTGCAGGCTCGTGATCGTTGCATGGCTTCCTCCCCTCTAGGAATGCCATAAATAAATCACTGGGTCAGGAAGTCTGCTACATGCCTGTGGTGTCTCTCCGTCACACTGGCTCTTTCTCTCTCTCTCCTTCTACATTTGTACAGAGCACATAAACCCGCCAGGAGCATTGCTTATCTCCCCTCCTGATGATACCTCACTGCTAGGTGCAAGCCAGCAGCAGATCAGTCACCAATATTCCTCGCCACAGAGGACACTGATGATCTAAGATCAGACCAAAAATTGCATTTAGGGACAAGTTGCACTAAAGTTTTTTCCTTCCCAAGGAACTCGTTTGTATTGGCTTTGCAAAAATGGGGGTTTCCAAGAACATGGTAATGCATAGCCAAAGTCATGGATTAAAAACTTCACTTTAGGATCCAGAAAGGGAGTATGATTGGTGATGGCAGCATTTGCAATGCACAAAGAGCTTTTCAGATCAAGTGTAAATGATTTTTTCTTTGGTTGTGGTCACCAAAAGGCAAGTTCTTAGGTGAGTCCTGGTGAAGAACTTCCGTTCTTGCTCCCACAGGGGGAGCTAACCGGGGGCTGTGCTCTTGTTGCAGCTTGTGGCTAGGGATCTTCAGGGGAAACCCCTCTGCCCTGCTTTGCTCTTTGAAAAGTGCCCTTATTCTGAAGCCTGGGCAATTTGCTCAGCAGCTCTTCACACCACAAAGGACATGAAGGATGAGAAATATTAGTACAAAAGAGGAGAAAAAAGCATTCATTATTGACGGGGGAAGTGAAATGACAATCCCTGTAGACAGAAATCAAGTGCCTTTCTAGACCTGAAATGGGTTTCACATTAACAGCCTTTTGCACAGCAGTTTTTAGTGGTGGCAAGAAGTAGAGAGAAGAAAAAGTTCATTCTTCATGTTATCCCTAAAGATTTTGTCATTTTTGCTAAATGGAACATATTGTTAAATCCCATGTGTTCCTTGCAGAGAAGTTCTCATTTGCAAAGGGCCATGTGTGTATGCAGGTTTTTTTTCCTCCTTCTTCTTTTTTTGGGGCGTTTTAATTGCTGTTGTAATCTGCATGTTTTGCATCAACATTTTCGATCAAAATTTTCCCAAGGACCGCAAGAAGGTCAGGGAAAAGCAAGAAAACTTTTTGTACTTTCTCTCAGGTATGCTGATCACCAGGGTGATGGACTTTTGAGAGGTTAGCACCGTTGTCGTCTTTATTTGGACAGCCACAAAAGGTCAAAGATTTCCTCGTCCTTCTTTATCTGTTCTCACATCTTCTCCAGCCTTCGTTTTCACTCTGGCTTCTCACAGGTGGGAACAGAGTCTGTTATCTCAAATTAATCTTACAAGACCTCCCCCACAGATCCACACTGTGCCCGTGCACAGCTTATTTCTTCATCTCATGTGTAGAATTGTTTATCCAAACTAGGTAGATTTACCTCTGCGGCACAGTTGTGGAAAGTAATTGGGTTTCTGTCAAGTACAGGACAAGATTAATCAAACCTGCCAACACGAAGCAGGCCAAAACTAGATTCAGATTTGACCTGTGCTTTAAGGGCCAGGAAATTCAGACAGAAGTACAGTGATGAAGGTGTTCTGCAGAGGGAGACCTGAAAGCAATGCCACTTCTTAGCAGCTTTGAACTGAGATAAAAAGATAAAATTCAAAACCAGATTGGGGCTGAATTTGGCATCCGAAGACTCTATCTGTTTATCAGACACTTAAAATCTACCGTCGTAAGTGAGAAATACTTATCAATTCGGAATTATCTCAGGGGAATGTTTTGTTGAATTCAAATCACTGCCAGTCGTATGCAAGAGTTGTGAATGCTTCATATTTAACTGAGCACGTGTGCAAACTCTGAATCATTTAAAATATGGCCTCGCTGGGTTCATTTCTTCTCTACGGGGTGGGAAGAACATGGGTGAAGTGTGGAGGGCAGGGGTGGAGCGGTAGCTCGTGCCTTTTCTGTTTCGGGGCTGTCAGTGAGGGGCTGCTTTGTTTCTCTGGTGGCCCTGCAAGACAAATGCTGCAAATGCAAATTCGCAGGCAGGGCTGGGACAGCTGGCATCAGCCCGGCGTGCCGGCGCTGGGATTGAACTTTGTGCCTTCGCTCCTTCTGGCTGTAGGTTTTCGCACAGATTGATGGAAACGCAGCGATAATCAGCGATCTCCAGAGCTGAAGCATCTTCCAGCTCGTTCTTTTCCTGCCTTCTTTTGGGCACCGCGGTGACCCTCAGAGTATCAAAGATGAACAAATCATGCCCAGGTTTGTGACATCCCCCCAAAAATAGTGTTCCCCCCCCCCATCCTTTATGTGCACACGTGCACGCACAGCACTGCCACCCAGCGGTTCGCTAACCGCAGACAAAGGGGCGATGCAAACGGGTTGTTTTTTCACCAAACGCCACAAAGAGGGTACAAAAAACTTCACACGGGCACGTACTGAGCTCTGCCCTCCCAAACTGGAGGTGCCAGGCTGCAAGAGAGGAGCAGAGTGCCAGCTGGGCGGCTGCATTTGGAAATATCAATACCTGAGCATCAGGTTCAGATAAGAGGCAATTTGCAATTGTCACGCATTTTCTACCTTTTCCATATTTTTTGTGCATGGTTAATGTGAGGGGGAGGACAGCAGACCTTATCTCTCACAGCTAGTGGTGGCAAAACTGAAAAACTCGTTTTCATTACCAGGTGGAAGGCTTTTCACATGCAAATTGTCAATATCATTGTGATGTGGCATTTTTATTAATCCAAACCAGCTTATCTGACCAAAAAGAAAGAAAGATCATTCTGTTTCATATCAAACATTTTGTTCTGACAATGGTAAGTTGTATTTAATGAAATATTGCATGGACGATCACACCTTTTTGTGATTTACTGCAGGAGAGGAAGAAATGGAATGGACTAATGGGTGAGGTTGGGTTTCTTTGTTGGTAGTGTTTGTTTGGGGTTTTTTGTTTGGTTGGCTTTTTTTTTTCCTTTGCTATTTTTTGGACAGTTCTCCTAAACGCCAGTCAAATGATGCCAGCTTATGAAAGCTTTTTAACTTCTCTCCTTCTACATCAAAGAAGCTGATCTGCTTTTACAGATATGCATATTTTTGTCTCTCTATTGTGTGCACTTCCCCTTCAGACACTGGGAAAATAAGGTCACGTTCCCTATTGAGTCCATCCTTTTCTATTGATTTAACTTTCTTAAAATCCTAATAGAGCTTGAAATTAATACAGTTTAATTTTCTTCGCCCTTTCTTGTGAACCACCAAAGCTTTTTTGTTGCTGCTACACCACTTTGGTAATAAAGACTGTGACAGGCTTGGATTCCTCCTTCTGATGGCAAAAATCCCTGAGAAGAGAAAATCAATGAGGGTTTTAGCTCCATCCAAGGAAAATAAGGGCTTTTCCTTTCAGCCTATGAGATGAGGAGCAGGGATGCCTTTTGAGGCAATTCAGCAGGGAGCAGACCACAAAGTCTCAGACCCTTCTGATGTGGCTAAATTCAGATTCACCAACATTAAGCCATCTCCCAAGGTCTCGGCTAGGGCCGTCTCAGTGCTATGCCTTATAAGTGAACCATATTCACATCCCCATGCCTAGGACCCATTAATTTCTCCAGCATTTGGGAGTCCTTTAATAAGACTCCTGGTTCCTGCAGGAGGGGGTGAATGTGCTTTAGTATTGGACCTGGTTGCTTTGGGATCTGGCTGGAAAAGATTTACCCAAGGGCAAATAAAGCCTGCAAGCTGCTTGGTTATTACCAGAGTTCCTCCATCAACATGCAAAGGGGCTGTGGACTCTTTGTGCCGGAGTGGTAGCCCCAATCCCTTGCCATGGGCTATGCAGCAAGAAGGTGGAGAGCATTGAACCTACAGCATCGGCATCCTTCCCTCATGCTGATGAACCTATTGGGGATGAAAAGACACCGCACCCCTTGACAGCTGCCTGCCCATCACCAGAGGAACCACGGTTTCATTGGAGAAAGTACCTGGAGGCTGTCTCCTTGCCAGTAATGGGGCAATGAAACGTCACGACCCTGGTTAGTCCAGGCTCCCATCCATCATGCCTGTTTATCCCGTCAGAGCACTGTTTAGCTGTATAAAATGGGCTGTAAACTTTGTTCACTTTGGCTGACAGCTATGATAAAGGCTATGTGCATTTTACAGCCTCACGAATGGGAAGGAGAAAGGTCCCCCGAGACCTCCCGCTGCTCCAGGTCCCATCATCTGTCATGGCACGGGAACGACCCAGTGGTGTCGTCTTCTCCAGCCCCCCTTCTCTTGGTCAGGTGCCGCTACCTTTCCTGGTGACGGATTAAAAACAAGTTAAATATGTATTATTTTTGCACTCTCTGCATATCCGTGCCTTTCATATCCACATCTTAAATTCATCACCTCTCTGTCAGTTGTTTGTAAATGTCCCTGGGTGTTTAACTCTTATTCCCTGAATCCTCTGAGCTATTGTTGGTGAATATGGCTATTACATATTCCTGGTATTTCTGAAAGGTCAAAAGAAAATGTAAAAGTGCCATTTCTTTTCTTTTCTCCCTTCAAAGCTGCAAAATGCAATATTGTTCTGGTGCAGTTACTCTTGCTGTTATGCAAAGATATTTTTTTTTTCAATACACCTTTTTGTATTTACTGCAAGTGTTCAGGATACAGAATTATTTCCTCAAATTATTAAAAACTAGAAGATATAATAGCCTTTTATTCTGTTTCAGAACATATTACTCTACCACAACAGTCTATTTTCGACAGTTTACTCTCATCTTCCTGCAACCCATCTTACAAATGAGACATAAAATTGAGGCTCCGGATGCTTATGGACCCAATCCTGCAGCATTTATGCACCTGTTTAAGTTGAATCATGTGAGGATTTGCAGTGGATTGAATGTGGGGAATGACTAATACTCGAGGAACTATGGCAATTGCTCCAAAGCAGTTTGCAGTTCTTCAGGATAAAGAGCAATGCATAAAGCTAGGATGCATTATCTCCTCCTCTGCCAACTCTGTCTGGAATGCTCTAAAGGATGGACTCGGAGCAAAAGCAGAATAAAATGTACTCGCCTGCAGCCCGTGCCTGGTACACTCATTTCTTGCTATCCCTACCATAAGGCTCCTGGTTGAGCAGAAGTTGGCCGTCAGCAATGCAACAAAATGCACCAAAATCACCAGGTTTTCACCATGGAGTTGCACTTGATGTTACAAAGCCTCGTTAATTGATTACAACATGATTCAGCAAGCTGCACTCTTCCTGACTCTTCTCCGTAGCTTGCTGCCTCTCCATTCAAAACCCGGCTGTGCTCCAAGGGTCTCGTCCCTGTGTTTGAAGCCCGAGCAGCTGAAGAATGACCTTTCTCTCTGACCTACATCTTTCATAGGAATAAAGCAACAGATGACACCAAGTAGAGGATTCACAGAGCTCTTTGTGCAAGCCCCTACAGCGGAGCTCCCCAGTGAAGGGCATCAAGCTTAACTCTCAGCTCACCCTGCAAGGAGGCTTTTTCATTCCACTTAATAGCAGCATTTCCACCGACTTATGCAGGAGCAGAGTCAAATCCCAACGTGTCTTTTAACAGCAGCTACTCCTCGGCAGAAGGAGCATCTCAGCAAATTGGACATCCCTGCCTCCTGCGAGGGGTTTCTTCCAGGCAAACCCACTCCCAGAATGATCCCCCACTTTCTGCTCAGCCTCCGTCGGGTTTTCTGTTCCTGCATGTCACCACCGTGATTGGCAACCGAAGCAGAAAGATCAGACAAAGGAAGGCTGAGGCACCACCTGGGACGGAGCTGAAAGAGATGCAGGAGCAGATATCTCCATCTGCCTCCTCGAGGCTTTGTGGGGCTGGGATACCAGCTGCGGTGTGGTGCTCCCGGATCCCAGGGGACTGCTGCTCTGCCCCGCTGCATCTCGGGAAGCCTCGATGGCAGCACCAGCACCACCAAGGTCACCTTCCTCATCCTCAGGCAGGTCACACTGCTACGATACTCCGGAGTGTGGTGAGATAGAGGAGTCCAGAAAGGATAAAACAGAAGGAAAATGAGTGTTTTCTCAGATGTATGCAGAAGGTAAATTATGGGGCTACTTACAGTACCTAAAATCACTTTCTCTCCAGGGGCCTGAATATGCTCTGTTAGAAAATCTGCATACGAGCCTGTAAATTTGCCATCTATGCTACAGTGTAATTGTACCAGACTCACCGATGTTGTATTTTTTACCTATAAATGTGATGGCGATATGCTTGTCTCCTCTTCCTACAAGAGTTTCACCAATTCCCAGGAAAGCAAACCTCCCCCAGTGGGCTCTTTCTCCCATTTAATCCAGATAAAGAGGAAAGTCCTCCATGGAGGGCGTGCACACAAAACCCACATTAGACACCCGGGAGTATAGGGACACGCTCTGCCCCACTGCAAAGCACCTCGGCACCCCTGCGAGGCATCACAGGACGTGACCAACAGCCCTCCCGCGCCCTAAGCATGGCACTTCTGTGTTGATGCAAAAAGCCATGCACAAAAGGGAAAATGGCAGCTTTCCAAGTGGCCCCAGTTAATAGCTCTGTTTTGCTTAATGGTGCCTCCCATTCAGACTAAAGATGCTGTTTTAAATATGTAAGCAATTAGTATCTCTCTCTCTCTCCCTCTCTCGCAACACATCTGTGCTTCTTCTATCTGCTGCATTACAAATCTGCTGCGTCCCTCTCCAGCTCGGCGGCGCGTGTAGCGCCAGATATCCTGGTCCTCAGCAACTTTCTGGGCTGCAGGAATTACAGCTGGCTGCGGAGGTGCTCCTGCCTGGCCCTGCCTACGCCCTCAGCACCACCGTCCTCTCCTCCTGAGCTGGTGCTGGGCTGGCATATAATAGGGGTGCAGGGAAAGGGACCTTTTGGTCTGGTTTTGGCTATTCTTTGGTCCAGCCTCATGTTTTTTCCTTCTTCCCACCTGCCACTTTCACACACTTTTTGTCTCCCTTTCTGGAGAGGAGCCGCAGCCTTTTCTCTCCGTACCAAACCGCAGGCTGCCCATGGGAGCGTGGCCGGGATGCACCCAGAGGTTTCTGCTCGGTGAATTCTGCCACAATTAATTCAGCCTGTTCAAACTCCTGTCTGATTTTGGGAGTCACGGCAGGGCTGGTGTGCTTATGCGTTTACGGTACACAAAGACTTATTGTTATCACATAGTGAGCGGGGTAGGTGCGATCAGTTACCGAGCACCTCTATGTGCACAGCGCTTTGCGACCCCAAAAGCCCCTCTTTAGGAACAGATGCGCCCAGCAGCATCCCTCCAGCCTCATTTAGAGCAGACCCCCGGGCTCCCAGGTGCTCCGCAAGGCATCAGTGGGGACCCCACGGGGGGGGCATCTCCCCGCGGGGCGCTTCCCCGAGCGCCCCCCGGCCAACTTTAGCGGCGGGGGGCTTTGGGAAGCAGCCTCCTCCCTTCGTCCCCATCCTTCCCCTCCCTCCTCATCCCTTCCCCTCCCCGCACCGGGCGGGGCGAGGGGGAGCTCGGCGGGCGCCGAGGGGCGGAGCGGCCCCGCCGGGGGGCGGTGGCGGCGGTGCCGGGACGCGGAGCCGCGCTCAGCGCCCCGCGGAGCGGCTCGGCACGGCTCGGCCCCCGGAGCCATGCCGCTGCCGTGCCGGGGCTGGACGCTGGCTTTGCTCACGCTGCTGGTCGGCTTCCTCATCTTCGCCGACATCTCCGAGATCGAGGAGGAGGAGGGCAGCGGGTAAGGAGCCCCCGCTCCGCGGCGCGGAGGATGGAGGAGGAGGAGGAGGAGGATGGAGGATGGAGGAGGAGGAGCGGGGCTCGGGGAGCGGCCGGACAGTTTTCTTTGTCTCCTGCTCTGCCGGCTCCTCGAGAGCCCAAGTGGGCTCTCGCTCCGCGCACCGCGCAGCCGGCGGCAGCCCCGGGAGGGACCCCCCGGGACCCCCCCCCCCCAAGTGGGACGGGACTGGGTGGGACGGGGAGATGGGGCCGGTCCTGGTCCCGTTGGGGACGTGGAGATATCGGGCCGGGTCGGGTGCTGGAGCAGGTGCCGGTCCCCCAGAGGCACGGCATCCCGCTCCGGGTTGGGGTGCTGAGCCGGGTGCAGGTCCCGGTGGCGGTGCTGGAGCGGTGCCGGCAGCTTCGGGGTGGTAGAGAGGGGTTGGGGAGAGGGGGCTGCGGCTCGGCTGGGGGTGGAGGGGAGAGCTGCATCCCGGGGGGCTCGGTGGGTCCGGGTGGGCGTGGTGGAGCGGGCACCCTGCACCCTGGGGCGGTGGGAAGGGGCCGGTCTGCAGGGGGCTGGGGCGAGGATCTGTCCGTGGGGAGGGAGAGAGGGAGCAGGGACAAGATTTGGGATGGGTGGGGGGTGATGGAGAGCACTGGGAGAGCTCAAGCTGTTTGGCTGTTGGGTCGGAGGCTTTAGGATCGCGTACCGCTCCTACCTGGGGCGTCCTGTGTGGCAGGGACTAAGGAACCCTAAATCTGGGAAGAGGAGCAATGCCCTACCCGCCCCGTAAACCCCATCTCGGAAGGCTGCTTGGTAAATGAGGGAGTGAGAGGAGGAAGAGCGGAGAGGAGGGCTTGCATTAACCCGAGGAACTCACTGCAGCAGCGTGGGAAAACAAGTCACATCGCTGTAGGAATGGGGGGTGCCCTGGTGGTGCCAAAATGGCACGGGGTCCTTCTTTCTGCTCAGGACTGGGTGGAATTTCCTGCTGGAGTAGCTCAGAACAAACACCTAGCACTCGGCTAAAACTGTAAATGAAACGCGGTGATGTTTGTCATTGCTTCATTGTTGGATTACGCCGGGTGCCACGGGCTAGAAGTGCTTAAAGGTCAGTAGCCCTGCCCAGAAACATCCAGCACCAGGCTGTAGGTTACCAGGCTGGGCAGATTATTGCTCTGCTACGAGCTGACGCTGCCTATACAATAAGAAAGGAAATGAAATGCTTCAGGAGCATCCTCCCGATCGGACAGGCTGCTCCGATCCCCTCGCTTTCCTCCCATCCTTTTTTCCGGCTTTGGCTCTTTCTTCTCCCTCCTCGCCTATCTGCTAGATCTGCCTGCTAGAACTTGCTGTGCCCTTATTGAAAATCTATTCTGTTGTGTTAGTTACTTGTCCTGCTCTTCACCCAGGTTCATTAGGGACTTCCAGGTGTTTTTTGGGTTTGGTTTTGTTGTTTTTTTCCCCTCCTCCCTTTACTGTACGTGTTATGGAAATTGGATGTTTGCTGGCTGCTTATCTCCAAGCCCTGGCATCTGAGTTTGTTGCTGTAGTTCTCCAAGGAAGTACTGCCAAACAGTTCAGCGGCAGAGACAGCAACAGGGTCAGATGAGTTCTGCAGGAATATCGAGCAGCCTCTTTCATACGGCGTTTCAGCAAGTGCGGGAGGTAACGTGGGCAGGAGAGGAGATCCCTGTGCCCCTGGCTAAGACGCACTCACTGCCCCAGGGACTGAAGGAGGCTTCCTATGATCTGGTGCCCTCTGATACACGTGCATTAGTCCCAGACCAATTTATTTTCTTTATAAATAAGCTACCACATTGGCTGGGACACAGGGACACCCAGAGCAAAGGTGAGACTATATTTAAAAGTCACCATGAAGTAGGACACAACAACCCTTTCTCCTCCTTTCTCCATTCCCACCCACATCTTTTCCCCATTGCATATCCCAAATCCCTGAAGTAGCCTATGTTTGAGCTCCTTCATCCCAAGCTCTGCTCATCGTACACCCTTGACTCTTAGCACAGGAGCCTGGTACAAGGAACACCCCATCCCTGCGTGCAGCCATGGTGCTGGTGACAGCCAACACGATGCTGTGACCTGGCTGAAAGGCATTGCTGGGGAGAGGTAGCAAAGTTGCAAAGAGTGAGACAGCCCAGGAGATGGTTATGGTTTTTCAGCTTCTGGGGCCACGTGCTAGCGGCATCTTTTCCAATCAGGACTTGTAGGTAAAGGGGAAGACAAAATGTGTGCCGTGGTGTAGAGAAACCGCAAAGTTTTCTAGGAGCTCTCGGCATTCCCAGAAGGGAACAGTTCCACCCTGTTAGAGGTTTGGAAGCCACTGGCTTTTTGTTCAGCTCTCTCCCAGGTTTGGAATATCCAGCTGGTGGATGATTTAGCTTGGTGTCCTCCTCCCCGATCCCCTGGCACCACCTCGGTGGTTGGCATGGCCCAAACGGGAAGCAGGGGGAAGAGGCAGGCAGAGACCCCTGGCACCGAGGGGCTGGGAGCTGCAGGCAGGTGCAACTCTTTTCTTCTTTTTCCTTGGCATCGAAACACTCTCTAATTATTGCGAGGAGCGAACAGCTTGCCCACTTTTACACATACCCTGCCCCCTGCCTGTGATTTGGATTGTCTTTGGAAGGATCTGCCTCGTACGGGTAGGAACAGGAGGAACATATTTCTCTCACCTACAAATACTGGGAAATCGAAGAAAGAGAGAACAAAATGTTCATTAGGTACAAAGTAAAAATGTAATATTACTGGCAAACGGACAAAAAAAAAAAAATCATGCTGTTTGCCCAGACAAAAAGTTCCCAGCATCACAGGTGAAAAAGGGGGCTTGGAGCTGAGAGCATCTCTGCCTGGCGGAGCTTCCTGAAGAAGGAGACTCCTTAGGAAGCAAGCATCTTTGCTCCTCCAGATACTATTATCCCTCCTCCTGCAGAGGGGAGAAGCTGAAACAAAGAGGCTAAATGACAGTGCTGGGGCAAGGATGGAAAATCAGCAGTTTCTGGGGCCCGGCGCTGTGCTGCTCTCACTAGCCCTTTCCTCTCACCCATTTCGGCACGGGCACCCCTCTGCCCACCTGCCTGGAGCCGGTGGTGGGGTGCCAAAGGGGAGGTGGATGCGCTCGCCCTTGCTCCTGTCCCACCGGGGTGACATGCAGAGGTTTCCAGCGGTGACATGTGGATGTTTCCAGCGGCGTGGCCACGTCGGTCCCCAGCAGCCACCCTCATCCCGGCCGCTGAACTTTTCCTGCAGCCCGTTGGCGCCCGCCTTTCCCCGCACCGCTCCGTGCACAGCTCTTTGTTTCCCCAGAAAAGAGACAAAAGAGGCATTCGGGGCTGGCTTGGGGAATGCAACAGCAATCGCTGCCATTTCTTCATCCAGCCTAGGACAGGGGAGCGGGCCAGACCTCTCCTGCCTTCTGCGGAGGCAGACAAAGGAGTGGGATAATTATTGGGAAAGCGAGGGGGATAATTGTTGGAAAATTCTGCTCCTTGGTGGCGGTTTAAAGGGACTCTTTGTTATGCATCTGCCGTAGCGGTTCTGCAGGGGTCCGGCTGTGTCCTGATTGTCTGTAGAGGGAGCTGGTGACCTGCTGCCACCAGGTGACTTCTGGAATTAGCGTGAGCCATCTTAGGCAGCACTTGACACTTGGTAATGGGTCAGACTTAATATGAGTCAACCTTTTTCTCTGCTAGTCCGGACCACGCGCCTTTCCATCCTGATTAGAACAGGAATCATATCCTGCTCTTTGAAGTGATGAACTGGAGGATTAAATATCGCTGGCCTGCCCCGAAGCTTGTCGTCAAATCGCCACGTTTCCAACGCCTGCCTGTCGAAGTCTCGGGAGAGCCACAAAAAGGCTTCACGTCCTCGGCAGTGGCTGATGCGTTTGCTCTGAGTGGCCTGTAGCATGCTACAGTCATAACACTTCTTGTCAAGGCTGGTCCATCGACTATAAACATCCTGCTGAAGTCCTTCGGGCTGTGATTTATTGCGCCTGACCCGGAGTCAAAGACTTGCTCTACACCGGAAAGTTTTGCTGAAGAAAAGTGCCACACTCTGCCAACCCCGGCTTTTGTGCGCTCACACAGCGGGTGCACAGGAACCAACAATTACCTGGGTGGGTCTGGAGGAGGAACGCCTCTCCGCAGCGCAGATCCCACGGACACCAAGTAACTGTTCATGCAAATCAAGTCCGTGGAGAGGCCTTTGTACTCGTTGGGTATGGCAAGGCTCTAACAAAAGCCCCGTGACGCATCGGGCTGGAAAATAAAAGCAATGTTGGAGCGCTGATTTGAATGAGGAAATATTCGGTGTAGGCTTTGATTGCCACACTCCTGACAATACCTCCAGCAGCCCATTTTCAGGTTGGCTGCAGAGCTCCCCTTGCTCCCTGTCAGCACTGCTGTGGCACAGAAAAGCCCCATCTCCTGACGAGCCACAGGGGGAGGAGGGCAGGGGTGGCTGCCACAACATAATGGGCAAAACCCCCGTGCTGCTGCCTAGGGAAGGTGAAGGGGATGAATCTTAGCTTATTTCCTCAAGCTGAGCTCTGAGGGGACAGCAGGAGCAGTGGTGCCTGCAGGAGGGATGAGCAGCAGGAGGGAAACACCAGCAGGACCCTGAGCTGTCCAGTGGAGCAAAGCCAAATCCAGTGCCAGGAACATAACCAGGCCCTCTGTGGGGTTTTCCTTACAGCTGGTGAAAACTTCAGTCCAGTCCTGCCCATCTGCTGCCTGCAAGACCCCAAGGAGGGGATTTCCGAGGATGCCCATGAGGGGAGCGATGGCAGCAGCCCTCTGGCTGCTTCTCCAGCCAACTCTCCTTGGGCACGGAGGTGCTGGAGCTACAGCCGGTCCCAGCTGCTACAACCAGAGTGCTGAGGAGACAAAAGCCACCCCGATAAGTGCTACAAGTTTCCCTTTCACCTAGGTGGGCTTTCTTTGTCCAGTCACTAACCCTGCAAATGCACCATTTAAATCTGGAAGGGAATGGACACTGATAAA